CTGCCAGGAGTGATTCCTGAGTGCAAAGCCAGGGGGAACCCCTGAGCATCGCCAAGTGTGACCCAAAAAGCAAAAAAAAAAAAAAAAGTGCTGGTGAGGGGACAGATGAGCCAAAAAGCTGAAATGCAGGTTTTGCCTGCGGGAATCTATTTTGGGTCCCCAACATGATGTGTACTTGGTACAGTCCCACATGGCTGCCGTACTGGGTTCTGCTGTGCAAGTGTAAGACCACGGCACACTGTACCAGTGACTAGGCAGAGAGAGGACAATACATACATACATTATATATGCACACACATACATGCACACATACATGTCTGTCTGTCTGTCCTCCCGTTGTTCATCGATTTGCTTGAGCGAGCCCAGTAACGTCTCCATTGTGGGACTTCTTGTTACTGTGTTTGGCATATTGAATACTCTCAGTAGCTTGCCAGACTCTCTGAGAGGGGTGGAGGAATCGAACCCGGCTCGGCCAGGCTGGCTGCGTGCAAGGCAAACGCCCTACCGCTATGCTATCACTCCAGCCTGCACACGTACACATACAGGAACAAACACATAGACACATCTACATGAATACACACGGAGTATATCTATGTGTGATGTGAAGACATGTACATTTATCTGCATATACATATATCCAGGTATCTTATATACCTACTGATAGATCTGAGAACCCTGTCCACTGCAAAGGGACAGAGATGAATCAAGTGAAGGAAATAGACTTATTGGGGTGTGCTCCCAGATGGAACTCTATGTACCTGGGGTGAGGCTAGGTCGAGCCGCGTCCGGAAGGGACTAAGGGGGCTTTTAAGTTGTCTTGGGTGGGAAATAGGGAAAAAAGACCACTGGAGCTGGTGTGCTTGGTCCGGCCTGTTGTCTGTAGGGATAAATGTGAGGAAGCACAGGATGCAGCCTTGGGCTTCCTGTCCAGGTGGGCCATAAGTCCTGTCTTCCTTCCCCACTGGAGGCCGGGTGAGCTTTGATTCTGGAATGTCACTATTTCATCTGCCGGCTGCCATTCGGCCCCCGAGGAAACCTTACACACAGACAGACAGACAGACAGACAGACAGACACACACACACACACACACACACACACACACACACACACACCCCAGATCCTGAGTGTTCAGGTGGAAGTCAATCCAGGTCTGAGCATTTGGGGGTAAGAGTAGCAGGCCCAGAGAGTCGTACAGTGGGCACGGCCTTGCACGTAGCTGGGCTGGGTCTGATCCCTGACACCACGTAGGCCATGAGGAGTAAGCTGTAAGCACTGCCATGTGTCGCCAGAAAGGAGGAGGAGGTGGGGGGGGGGGGAGTGCAGGGAGGGCACAGCAGCAGAAAGTGGAACTGGGCGGATGCTCAGTGGTCAGGCACTGACCTTGCATGGATAAGGCCCTCGGTGCAATCCCCCACGCTGCAAAAAAGAAAAAGAAGGAAAAATTAAAAAGAGGGTCTCAACCACCGGAGGAAATCAGAGCGGGGCAGCTTGGGGGCAGATGCTAGGGTGGAAATGGGCTGGGGGGGGGGGGGGCGGTGTTAGTGTTAGTTTGTTGTTGGTTGGTTTTTGGGTCACACCCAGGACGCTTAGTAGTTACTCCTGGCTTTGTACTCAGGAATTACTCCCGGCGGTGCTCAGGGGACCATATGGGATGCCAGGGATCGAACCTGGGTCAGCTGCGTGCAAGGCAAATGCCCTCCCCGCTGAACTAGGGCTCGGGCCCCTGGAGCCGGGTTTAGAAGGTCCAGTTGCAAAGTTTGCTGTACAGAAGGAGGAAGAAGAGCTGGTGCTAAGAGAAGGGGCATTTGGGGCCAGAACCGGGTTTTGTGAGTCTTGTGAGAAAACTACAGCCAGGTTTGGGCTGCCGCGCCCTCTGTTGGCTTGTTACAAAACTGCAACCAGGCCCTGCGTGGCTGTCAAGCTCCTTCCTGCTGTGTCTAAGACTCCCTTGAAGAAGGGAGGCAGAGAGGTGGCTCAGGGGTCGAGCTCTTCCCTGGCAGGCATGGGGCCCTGGGTCTGACCCCCAAGCACTTCCGGGGGGTTCCAGAGGAAACATCTATTCCTTCTGCACCCTAACGTAAGGCCGTGGATGATATGGTCAGGCCTGGCATCGTTTACGTGGCAGAAATACTCAGTGCTCGTTCTGCGTCCTGGTAGGGGCTGGCAGAGTCTCTGTGTTTCTTCTCATTGCTCCAAGTGCTTTGGTAACTTCTTTCCAGGATACAAATGCAAATGGAGTGTTTAAATGCCAGCCTGCTATTCTTTGGTTTTTGTGCATCCAAAAGGCATTTGCCGGAGAGATGAAGGGAAGGAAGGCGCTTGCCTTCTGCACAGCGGACCCAGCTCGATCCCTGGCAGCACACACGGTCTGAGCACAGCCGGGAGGGGTCCCTGAGCACAGAGCCAGGAGGAAACCAGATGGATGCTATCCCCCAACTCAAGCAAATGTAGACAAAGCTGCCGGTTCTAAAATGATCTAAAGTGTGGGTTCCATCCACAGCTACATATGATCCCCCAGCACTGCTGGGGTTGGCCATTGCCTGTGGCTCTGTCCAGTGGGGAGTGAGGGAGGTCACCTCAAGAAAAGAGTTTGGGTGCTCGCTTTGGCAGCACATCGACTAAAATTGGAACGATACAGAGAAGATTAGCATGGCCCCTGCGCAAGGATGACACGCAAATTCGTGAAGCATTCCATATTTTTGAGAATGGGCACTGGTGGAGGGATGGGTACTGGATCATTGTATAACTGAAACCCAAGCACAAAAATTTGTAAGTCTACAACTGTACCTCATGGTGTTTCACTAATAAAAATTTTCAAAAAATAAAGTTTGGGGACTGGAACAATAGGACAGAGGGTAGGTTTTTTTGCCTTGCACACGGCCAACCTGGGTTCGATTCCCAGCATCCCATATGGTCTCCGAGCACCGCCAGGAGTAATTCCTGAGTGCATGAGCTAGGAGTAACCCCTGTGCGTAGCCGGGTGTAAGAAAGAAAGAAAGAAAGAAGGAAGGAAAGAAAGAAAGAAAGAAAGAAAGAAAGAAAGAAAGGAAGGAAGGAAGAGAGAAAGAAGGAAGGAAAGAAAGAAAGAAAGAAAGAAAGAAAGAAAGAAAGAAAGAAAGAAAGAAAGAAAGAAAGAGAAAGAAAGAAGTTTGTCCACCTCTCTCTCTATCCACATCTGCCACCCAAAGAAATATCTGGCCTGGGTCAGGACTGGTAGAATCTGCCACAAGCACCCACATGGCTTGGACCCTCACACCCTGCCAGCCTACAAGGCAGCCCTTGCTGTGCACCAGGAGTCCACCTGTTCCGCACAGTGTGGGAGATGACCCCGCTGCCCAATTTCTCGGGAAGCCGTGGACTCAGACTGGAGTGAGAAGCTGCTCTTTGCAGGCCAGGAGGGTCAGCCCTCCCCTCAGCACAGACCTTCTGGGTCTGCCACCTTTCCCTCACAGAAAAGAATTTTAGGAAGAGCGTAAATAGTGGAGAGAGATGGTTTTTACTGAATGAAATTTATTTTAGAAGTCTTGAGGGGAGAGAAAAAAAGGAATGCATTTTCCAGAGAGAACACAGCCCTTCCCAAGAATGGAAAACGCCAGCAAGCAAAGATACATCTTCAGGGGAGAACTTTAAAGACCACACCCAGAGTTGCTTGCAGGAGGCGCTTACATAGTTTTTCCACCCGGGTTTCTTCCTGGAGTTCTCTGCATACGTGAAAGCTCATCCGGAAGGCCTTGCCCTATGGAAGATCTCATAATCTTATCCCTTGCACTGCTGATGGTCTTTACATAATTTTGTAGATTTTTCTGCAGTTTCTCCTTTTCTGAGGGGCCCACCTTTCTCTGGGTGGGGTCCTAGATTTCTGCATCATGGTGATACCTCAGTTTCCCCAAAAAGTTCAGGATTTGCTTGTCTTCACACCTTTGGGCCACTTTAGGGTTAGGCAGTCTCTTCCTAAATTCCTTATTTTCCAGAAGTACATCACCAGAGCCCCCCTATCTTTCTGCCTGTAACATGACCAAGCCAGAAGTACCCCTGAGCACAACCATTGTGGACTCCAAAAAAATTAAGCTGGGGGCTTGAGAGATAGTACAGCAGGAAAAGGTCTTGCCTTGCACATGGCTGACCCAGATTCTATTCTTGGTGACACTCCTTGTGGTCCCCCACTGTGAGGACTGATCCCTGAGTGCAGAGTCAGGAGTAAGCCCTGAGCACTGCTGGGTGTGGCCCCAAAACCAAAAATAAAAAAAGATACAGGGGTTCAGGCACTTGCCTTGTAAGCCCCTGACCAGGGTTCCATCCCCAGAACTCCATGTGGTATCTGAGCCCCCTAGGAGTGAGTTCTGAGCACAGCGCCAGGATTAGCCACTGAGGCAAGCTAGGCGTAGTTTATAAAAAAAAAAAATATATGGGTTGAAATGGGAGGATGAAGTTGCCTCTTCCTGAGATGAGGAAAAGCTCAGGAGCATAGCGCCAGGGCTGAGCCCAGTGTTGTGCTGGTCAGGCTTGGAATTCCCACTGGACATTCCTCTAGAGACTGTCCAGGACCTCCATGGACCTGGAGGTCAGTGAGAGACAGCTCTGAAGGCACCCTAAGGTGCTATCGTGACAGAGGATGGCAACTGGCATTTAGGGGTCACAGAAATGGTACCAGGGGTCAGGCACTGGCCATACATGTGTCCAACCTGGGTTCAATCCTCAGCGGTACGTACGGTTCCCTGAGCCCACCAGGAGTGAGCCCTGAGCACAGCCGGGTCTGTCCCAAAGGAAGGAGGGAGCGAGGATAGCAAGGAAGAAAGAAGAAGGAGGGAGGAGGGAAGGAGAATAGAAAGGCGGAAGGAAGGAGGGAAGAAGAGAAGGAAAGAGGGAGGGAGGGAGGGAGGGAGGGAGGGAGGGAGGGAGGGAGGGAGGGAGGGAGGGAGAAACCAGGTGGTGGCTGAAGAAGCAGCTGCTAAAGCTGTTGGTTCCTCTCTCACTCCTCTGCCTTGTTCTACTGCTACAGGTGGTAGCAGATACCAACATCGGCGCCATCGCCTCCCAGTTTGAGTCCATGACGACGGGCCAAGCCGGTTCCCCCACCGGAGACTACAACCCCGAAGATGCTGAGTGCGTATTCTAACCCAGGCCACACGTGGAGGCTGGGCTCAGGGTCTATGGGGGCTCACTGGATAGAAGAGGGGACCAGGAATGACCTTCCCTGGTTCTTGGGAGAGGGGACCGGGAGACGATCTTTCCTGGTCCTTAGGGGAGGGGACCAGGAGGTAATCTCTCCTGATTCTTAGGAAAGCCCCTAGGAGGCTTCTGGGGCTCCTTTCTGCCCCCCTGCCTTTGCTGCTCTGCGCTAGCTCCTAGCAGGACTCACACACTCCACCTCTGCCACAGTAACAGCATTTATTGCCCAAGAGGCCGATAGTAACAGTATTTGTTACTGGAAGGGACAGATTTAAAAGCTTTGAAAGCCCTAGGTGGCCACATTTGCATAGTCTGACATCAGGGTCCCAAGGGGATTCTCCAGACTCAAAGAAGTACTGCACCGCTGGAGCCTGGCCACCAGTGGGCGCCCGATGAATGTTGGTTGGTGCAGCTGAAGGGCTGAGGGGGTCCCAGGGTCCCTGCCTTTGCCAACTTTCCCCACTACTTCATGCACGGAAATGGCATCGCTGAGTTTGATCTCTCTTAAAGAGAGACTGAGAGACAAAGGTCTCTTTGTCTTTCACTTTTTCTTTGCTCATTGTGAAAGTAATAAACATATGTCGCTTTATTAAAATGGGACCAGGACATACAAGTATGTAATATTTTTTCAAGGAGCAAAGGCAAGCGGTTCCGGTGCAGGAGTGCTACCGTGAACCTCCCTGTGGGGCTTTGGAGGTGTCCTGGGGTCTGCATGCCTTTGCCTTGATTCCACGGAGAATCATGAGGGTAGCGCCCCCGTGAACATGTGGAGCTGTCTGTCTCTGTGAACTGTCTCTGAGATGAAAGTAAATGCAGGTGAGATGCAGGGAAGCCAGCTCCGTTCCAATTGCCAGAGGGGTGTGTTTTGTTTGGGTTTTGCCAGTTTCTGCCCTTTCCCACAGAAAACAGGTCTCTAAGAGACACACAAAATGGTGACAAGGGCCAGCCCTGTCCCATTGGCTTTTCCTATTCCTGTCTCAGGATAATGGAATGGGGTTTGCATTGGAAAGAAGAAACAGGGGGTGCTGGAGCGATAGCACAGTGGGTAGGGCATTTGCCTTGCACACGGCCGACCCGGGTTCGATTCCCAGCATCCCATATGGTCCCCCGAGCTCCGCCAGGAGTGATTCCTGAATGCATCGCCAGGTGTGACCCAAGAAGCAAAAAAAAAAAAAAAAGGAGAAGAAACAGGAGTCCAGGGTCCAGTTCATGTCTGGCCAGTAGGCACCTGGAGGGTCACCTCTTGACGCTCGGTCCAGCCTGACTCCGAGACTCATTCCAGGAACCCGGCAGGGTGATGCTGCCCAATCTCATCCCGTGTTTACTGAGCCTCAGGCCAGCTTGTTCCCTGAAAGGCACAGAACAGCTCTAAAGCAGGGTCACCAGAGCAAGGGAGAACTGAGGTCCAGGTGTGGGATAAGCAGGGCAGGCACTTGCCTTGCACACCACCCACCCGGGTTCTATCCCTGACACCCCACATGGTCCCCTAAGCTTCACCAGGAGTGAACCCTGAGCGCAGAGCCAGGAGTGAGTTCTGAGCACTGCTGGGTGTGACACCCCCATCAAAAAACCAAAGAACTTTCCACACCCCAGGTTGCTGATGTGTCAGTTTTTGTGACTCAGTTCCTCCCAGAGGACACCTACCTCTTAGCCCTGTCTGTGGCCATCTACCAGAAGACACTGGCGCTAACCATGAGGGTTCTCCAGTACCAGTTGGGGCCTGGGGTACCCGCATTGCTGATGGTTTCTACCCTTTGGGCTAAAGTCCTGGGGAATAAGAACTGGGCATTGGCTAAGCTCAGAGTGCCCCCCCAGGCCCCCGTGCGTGAAATAATTTAGCCATGTGTCTCTGAGACGAGACTTTCACACTACACGAAGCTTTAAGCCCGTAAATTATATCTGTGGGACAAAGGGTCTTTCCCCACTTCCCCCCCCCCCACCGCCACTCCCAAGATGCCCTCCTGGATTTCAGGTCTCCTTTGGCACAGCTGTGAGTCTGATCTGAAATGCACACTGCCCGGGGCTCCCTGGCCCAGCAGAGGGGGAAGACAGGTGGGATTATCCCAGAGGACCCTATTGGGACAGAGAGGATGCTGGGCAAGTGGGCAGGTCTCATCCCTACAAGGGTGTCCCGGAACCCTCCCCCGAAGGAGGGTTTGATGGAGCACCTCCTCTTCTTCCCTCCTCCCGGCCAGCGCTGGCACAGGTGTTGGCACACTGCTCAGGCAGAGAGAAGAGAGGCAGTTCTAGGAGACATGGGGTGCCATCCCCTGCTCCTGGTAGTCGGGCCTCACCCCTCTTCCTCTAGCTGCCTCCCTCTTCTGGGTTGCAAATTCGCTTCATTCAGCCCCAGACACTAAGTTTTCGAGTTTAAATTAGATCAGAGAGAGGACTCAAAGGGCTATAGCGTATGTTTTGCATGAGGGAACCCCGGGTTCCATCCCCCGCACTGCCTGGTCTGAGCCTCAAGCACTGCCAGGTGTGTCCCAAAAACCACACACACACACACACACACACAACACAATGCAACACACAGAAGGCACATTGATAATTTCAGCACCCAAAAAAAGACAAGATTTTTTTTTCTTTTTGGGTCATTCATGCCCGACGATGCACGGGGGTTACTCCAGGCTCTACACTCAGGAATTACCCCTGGCGGTGCTCAGGGGACCATATGGGACGCTGGGAATCGAACCCGGGTTGGCCGCATGCAAGGCAAACGCCCTACCCGCTGTGTTCCAGCCCAAGACAAGATTTTTTAATTGGAGAATGGGATCCATGTTATGAACAAGAAACCCCTAAGATGGGGCTGGAGCGATAGCACAGTGGGGGTAGGGCATTTACCTTGCATGCGGCTGACCCGGGTTCAATCCCCAGCATCCCATATGGTCCCCTGAGTACCACTAGGAGCAATTCCTGAGTGCAGAGCCAGGAGTAACCCCTGAGCATCGCCGGGTGTGACCCAAAAAGAAAGAAAAAAAAAGAAACCCCTAAGATGGCCAGAGTATTGGCTATTCATCAGCACGATACAGAACGTTAGAAAAATTAAGTTTATAGGTTGTATTCCAAAAGTCTCTTCAGGATCATGGAGCATCATTGATTTATGTTTTGAAAGTCTTTCTCGTATCTGTATTGTTCCATTCAAGTGAAATGTTCTCATGGTGTCTCCTCTTGAACTAAACAGCTTGTATTGTGTTTTCAGAACACCTGCACCTAAGATTATTACTTTGGAGAAAGGCTCTGAAGGGCTGGGGTTCAGCATTGTTGGGGGTTATGGAAGTCCCCATGGAGACCTGCCAATTTACGTCAAGACTATATTTGCAAAGGTATTTTTTTCCTTTCTCATTATGCTTTTTTCTATTAAACCTCAATGAAACTCTCGTTAAGTGCTTTGCGCACTCATGTGTATGTCTTTGTGTGTGTGTGTGTGTGTGTGTGTGTGTGTGTGTCCTCTCACCCTGTCGGAGCTGGTTCCTCTGATGGTCTCTGCTGAAACCAGAGTGAAGGCCCTTCCCCCTTCCTCTTCCTACATCCTTCCCGCCCTGCCCTCCCGAGGCTGGATGGCAGCCTCTGCTCCCATCCAGCGAGCAGGAACAAGTGTTAGAGCAAACTGCCAGCTCGCTTGTGACTTAATTGTACTAACTGTCCCTTCAAGTATGCGGGAAAACACTAGCCGTGTAATCAACTTACCAGGGAGCCCCCCAGCCTCCGAGGGGAGATGACCGCACTCTCTCCTGCACCACAGACAGTCCAGCCAATCTCCAGTTCACCTCTCCGGGTAGACCTTTTTACCGGTGTGTCCCAGGTGAGGGAAGGAGTCAGGGAGCACTCACCCTGTGATGTTTATTTAAAGATATTTTGGGGGGGACCAGAGAGATAGTACAGAAGGGAGGGCACTTGCCTTGCATGTTACCAACCCTGGCTCTAACCCTGGGTTGAAACCCCATCATCCAGCTTCCCATATGGTCCCGTAGCCCACCATGCGTGATCCCTGAGCACAGAGTCAGGAGAAAGCTCTGAGCACCACCAGGTATGCACCCCCCCAAAAAAATAAGATTCAGTTGAATGACTTTTTTTAATTTGCTAGAGCAAACCAATATAATAAAACTAAACTCACAAAGGAGATTTTTCATTTTTCTTTCTTTTTAAAAAAATTTTTTTTTTCCTGGAGCGATAGTACAGTGGGTAAGGCATTTGACTTGCACACAGCCAGCCTGAGTTCAGTCCCTGGCATCCCATATGGTCCCCCAAGCACCACCAGGAGTAATTCCTGAGTGCAGAGCCAGGAGTAACCCCAAGAGCATCGCTGGGTGTGACCCAAAAAGCAAAAGAAAAGAAAAGAAAGAAAGAAAGAAAGAAAGAAAGAAAGAAAGAAAGAAAGAAATTATTTTTGGTTTGGGGGAACCATACTCAGTGGTACTCAGAAGCTACTCCTGGTCTAGTGCTCAGGGGTCACTCCTGGAAGAGCTCAGGGGGACCCTGGTGCTGGGGGTCGTGGAGAAGCACGGCCCAGGAATGACTCTCCTTGGGCAGATTTGAGCTTGCTCTCCGCCCACCAGACATGGTTAGCTTTGCTCTGACTGGGCGACCTGTCACTCCCACACTCACTTTGGGTGTCTTTGATCTGCAGGGAGCCGCTGCTGACGACGGCCGCCTGAAGCGCGGGGATCAGATCCTAGCGGTGAACGGCGAGAGCCTGGAAGGCGTCACTCACGAGCAAGCCGTGGCCATTCTGAAACGCCAGCGTGGGACCGTCTCCCTGACGGTGCTGCCCTGAAGTCCCCAGGGGGCCCCCCACCCCAAGCCAGTCTGCTATAGGTCCCCCGAGAAGGATAACGCTCTGTGCCAGGATGAGGGGCAGCCTTGCCGGAGAGCCACCTCCAACGTCGTCGTCAGCTGCGTGGGGACCACTGGATGTCCCCCGGCCTCACCCTCCCCAGCTTCCCTCACCGCTGGGCCAGGCGAGGCGAGAAGGGGTCTGGGCTATTCTGCATTTCACATCTGGCCTCTCACCCCGTCGGAGCTGGTTCCTCTGATGGTCTCCGCTGAAACCAGAGTGAAGGCCCTTCCCCCTTCCCCTTCCTGCATCCTTCCCGCCCTGCCCTCCCGAGGCTGGATGGCAGCCTCTGCTCCCATCCGGCGAGCAGGAACAAGTGTTAGAGCAAACTGCCAGCTCGCTGGTGACTTAACTCGTGCTAACTGTCCCTTCCAGTATGCGGGAAAACACTAGCCGTATAATCAACTTACCAGGGAGCCCCCCAGCCTCCGAGGGGAGATGACCGCACTCTCTCCTGCACCACAGACAGTCCAGCCAATCTCCAGTTCACCTCTCCGGGTAGACCTTTTTACCGGTGTGTCCCAGGTGAGGGAGGGAGTCAGTTTGCAAACTCTCATCTCCACTGCCAGGAAGGCTTCTCCGTCCCTCCCTTCCCTGAGCACGCGCGCCCGCCTTCGCACCCAGGGAAGTGGGCCCCACGCTCTGACTCCCAACAACCCCGAGGCATGTTCCAGTCTGGGAAGCTTCTCTGGGGTCCCTGGTGTCACAGAGACGAGCAGCGTTCCCACCCCGTCGCCTGCCCCCGAGGAGGGAGAGGGCCCCAAACTGGAGCCAAGAAGAGCACATGTTTCTTCAATGAAGCCACATCTGGGGAGGGAGGCCTGACCGTGTCGAGGAGCACAACAGCATTGGTGATGCTTCTCCTGGCTGTCCCAAGGCACTGGAGCAGCCCAGATTGTGAGGCACAGTCACAATACACTGAGCCACTTGGTGACAAGAGATCAAGCTGGACCTCGGAATCAGAGATGGCAATGCAAGCTCATGTTTCACACTCTCCAGGGCACTTTCCATTGGCTGGAATTGTTGCTTGCCAAGAAAGCAACAGCAGGGGCCAGAGAGATAGTACAGTGGTTAGGGCTCTTGCCTTGCATGGGCTGACCAGGCTGGCTTCAATCCCCAGCGCCACACATGGTTCTCCATACACGGCCAGGAGTGATCCCTGAGTGCAGAGGCAGGAGGAAGCCCTGAGTACCAACCAGGTGTGACACCCCTAAAGCCCCAAAAATAAGGAAAGCAAACACAAAGAATTTACAAGAAGTTGGCGGTCTTATTCTTATAGTACTAATCTGGCATATGACAGTCTTATTAGAGAAAATCTTTCAGGAGAGGGAAGATCCTTACATCTCCCATAATAAAGACCACCTCCTAGGGTCCGTGGTAGTTGGGCATGACTTAACTAAAAGCACGTTGCTGCCATGATTCACAATAAGTGTCCAAATGTAATGAGTTCTGACTTAAAATGTTATTTAATATGGATAGCTTTTGATCAAGAATCAGCTTTGAGTAGATGTTCTCACGAAGTGCATTAACTCTTGTTGGAATATCTTGTGGCTATTCCAAATTAAAGAGTGCCTAAATTTTACGTTCACACTATCTTTCCTGATTGGTCTTAAGTTTTCTGAAATGACACATGGCTTATGGAATCACTCATCTCCCTGGTAGGGGCAGTCTTAGAATCTAGCCTTTCCATGCATGAGAAACTGTCTCCGTCTCAGAATGTTCTGTGTTAGGATCTCGGGAAGATCAGCTCATGCACCAAGGAAGAAAATGAAGCCCAAATGAAACTTGAAAATGCACCTTTCAAAAAATTATATAGATAATAATTTTGAAATGATTCTGCTTGATTTTGATGGACTGAACATTAAATATACATTTTGAAATATCTTCTTGTGTGTCTTTCTTTTGGTAAGACGGGCTATACCTGGCCATGCTCCTGCCTCTGTGTGCAGGGATGACTCCTGCTTGGGAGACCATATGCAGTGCTGGGGATAGAACGGAGGCTGGTTGGCACTGGAGAGATAGTTCAGCAGGTAGGGCATTTGCCCTGTATATGGGGAACCCGCATTCAATCCCCAGCACCTCACATGGTCCCCGGGCCCTGCCAGGAGTGATTCCTGAGCACAGACCCGGAGAAACCCCTGAGCACTGCCAGATGTTGCCCAGGGCTTTACCCCAGCCCCTACATAATCCCCCAGGATCTCAGGAAACGACAGTCCTACCCTGAATCCCTGGCACACTCACATCATATGATCTCCATGCACAGATGAGTTTGACCGCAAAACACGTTTTGTGTGTGTGTGTGTATGAGCACACATGCGCGTGCACACTCAGAGTTGCCTACAAATCAAGTAGTCTGTGTAGCCCGTTACCAAGGGGAGGGTTGGAAGAGGGGTACAGTGATACCACAAAGCTGCAGTGAACTGAAAGGGATCCCATGGCCAACCACGCCCTGGGCCTGAGCCAGGGAGAACCGGCCCCTCACACCTGCCACCCTCTGCAAAGCCAGCAAGCCCTTCTGCAAGGGTTTCCCTCCACATGCCTTCAATTGCAGTCACATGACCCCAGTACCCACCTGAATCTCAGGAATTTGAAACTTCAGGCTGCTCCCTTTTCACCCAGCATCGTCCCATCTTCCAGATCATTCCCACCCACCATCAGAGAAGTCGGCCTCAGGCCCAACGCTCAAATGGCAGCAAGATTGTTTCCATGCTGAAGGCCCTGAGTTCGATCCCTGGCACTGCGTGACTCAACTGAGCATCCCTGAACATGGCCCTGGGGGGCCCTGGGCGGCCTGTCAGATGCAGGGCCAGGCATATGACCCTTTGCAAATTATTTTAATTCAATTGTATTGTTTCGGTTTTGCGGTCACACCCAGCTATGCTCAGGGCTTACTCTTGGCTCTGTGTGCAGAGATCACAACTGGCAGGGCTCCAGGGAACATACAGGGTGCTGGGGATTGAACCCAAGTTGGCTGCACGCAAGTCACAAGTGCCACCAGCTATACTATTTGCTCTAGCCCTACAATTTTTTTTAAATTTTTTAATGAATCACCGTGATGTGCAGTTACAGACTTACAAACTTTCATGATTACGTTTCAGCCATACAATGAGCATACCCATCCCTTCACCAGTGCACATTTTCCACCACCAGTGTTCCCAGTATCTTTTAACTGAACAGAAACAGTTAAGTCAGACTCTCCTTGGGATAACGTCCTTAGGAGATACCCAGGGGTGCAGCACCCTCGCCTTGCCTCACCCGCTGCCTTTCTAAGCAACAGAAATGTATTGCTCCCAACGTCTCCCCGCAATTTTTTTCCTTTTTTCCTGGTTTTTGAGGCTTACTGGTGTTCAGGGCTTACTCCTGGCTCTGCAGTCAGGGATCACTCCTGGTAGAGAAATATGTGGCTTGCCAAGAAGTAAATCTGGGTCAGCGCATGAAAGACAAGCGCCCTACCCACCATACTATCTCTCCAGCTCCAAGGTGTTCTTTTGTTTGCTTGTTTGCTTGTCTAGGTTGTTGGGGTTTTTTTTCCTTTTTCTTTTTTAATTTTTATTAGTGAAACACCATGAGGTACAGTTGTAGACTTACAGATTCTTGTGCTTGGGTTTCAGTTATACAAGGATCAAGTACTCATCCCTCCACCAGCGCCCATTCTCCACCATCACCAGTCCCAGTATCCCTCCCACCCCCCCCCATACCCCCATCCCACCTTGCCCCCTTTTGTTCTCTCTCTCCTTTTGGGTGCTGTGGTTTGCAAAAAAGAGGAATTGAGTGGCAATCGTGTTTGGTCTATAGTCTGCTTTTAGCATACATCTCCCATCCTGGGCAGATCTTCCCAGCACCCTTTCTTTGGTGCTCCCTTCTCTATCTGAGCTGCCTTTACCCCTAGAGTGTACAGCTGGCCTCGAAGCCATGAATGAACCTCCTGGTATTTATCTCAGCTATTCTTGGGTGTTAGTCTCCTATTTTGTTACTTTATGTTCAGTTGTTAGGGGTTTTTTTGGTGGGGGGATGGGGAGGCAGTTGGCAGGGGTCGGTGAATGAGGGCCATACCTGGTATTGCTTAAGGGCTATTCCTAACTCTGCTCTGGAATGACCCTTAGCAGTGCTCAGGACCTTGTGTGGTGCTAGGGATTTAACTGGGCTCTGTTGCATGCAAGGCAGGCTTACTCTACCCACCTCTATCTTTCTGGCCCCCGTTAATTTTGTTAGGGACCCACACCCAATGTTCGGGGGTACTCTGTGGTGTCAGAGAAGGAACCCAGAACAGGCCCTGGTTTGGGGGGCCTAGCTCCTCAGCTCATAGGCTCAAAGATTCTTAACCACATGGTACATTAACAACTGCCTCCTGGACTGCAGAGAGACCCCAATAGACAGGAGCACAAGCTTTGCAAGCAGGAGGCTTGGGTTTGGTCCTTAAAATACTGCCCTGGGGCGGGGGGGGTGGCTGGAGCAATAACACAGTGGCTAGAGCATTTGCCTTGCACGTGGCCCAACTCCAGTTCCATCCCCAGCATCCCATATGGTCCCCCGAGCACCGCCAGGAGTAGTTCCTGAGTGCAGAGCCAGGAATAACCCCTGTGCATCGCCGGGTGCGACCCAAAAAGAAAAAAAAAATGCACTGCCCGGAGCAACTCCCAAGCAATTCCCAATCACCAAGCTGACCTGTGATACACCAGAGCACTGCCGAAAGTGAGCCTATAGCAACCAAAGAACAAATAAACGCCTCAGGATTGTTTTTCCCTTCACATGATAAAATCCCAAATAATTCGTGTAACACTTCTGAATACTTCTTACATCAAATGTGAGCAGCCTGGCCCCAGACCCTCGGTCTTAAAACCCACCATTCCTTTTCGTATTCCTCTGGATAAAACCAGGGCCCTGAGGATGGGTCAAAAGCCAGGATTCCCAGACTCCACACACCCACCTGCGTCTAAGCTGGAGGAGGTACCAGCAGAGGTGGAGGAGGTGAAGCCCTTAGAAGGAGAAGGAAGTGGGTCTCGCCCATAAGCCACCTCCTGCCAGCGCCAGATAATCTCGTCCAGATCACACGGCTACTTCTCCCAGAAGGGAACATAACATGTATGTAAATACATACCGCTTGTATGTAAATTTCATGACTTCATCTTTTCTAACAGCTACATAGTACTCCATTGTGTAGATGTACCAAAGTTTCTTTAACCAGTCATCTGTTCTTGGGCATTCAGGTTTCTTCCAGTTTCTGGCTACTGTAAACAGTGCTGCAATGAACAAACAAGTGCAGATGTCACTTCGACTACACATTTTTGCCTCTCTGGGGTATATTCCCAGGAGTGGTATCGCTGGGTCAAATGGGACCTCAATTTCTAATTTTTTGAGAATTGTCCATCCTGTTTTCCAAAAGTACTGAGCCAGTCGGCATTCCCACCAGCAGTGAAGGAGATCATACACCGGGATTGTTTTAGTTCCTCCCACAGACACCTGGCTTGAAAGTTGAACTCCCAGGCGATTGCAGTAACCTGGAGACTGTTCTAGATAGCAAGGTTCCCTGGGCATAGGGGTGAGGATCCTCAAGGTGTGGGTCATTAAGGTGCTAAAGCCTGCAGTTCCTAAAGGTATGGGTCATCCCCATCCCCCCACAAACCCCAGCACCACACCCACACCTCACAGCTGCAGCCTCACAAACAGCCCAGCTTCACGGCTTGACGTCGAATCTTGGAAGAGAGGCTGAGTGAGCCAACAAGACTGCCAGGTACACCTGTCTCTGGGCTGAAAACTCTGTGGCCTTCTTGGGGTGAGGACGGGCAGCTTCCCCAGATCCCAACAGCTGCACCCCTGCCCACAGCCCAGCTTCACCGCTCCATGACTGATCTTGGAAGCCAAACTGATGAAAGAAAAATAAATAAATAAAAGACACAGGTACACCAGTTTTGGGGCCGAAAACTCGGGGGCCCTCTCTCAAGGGGGTACAGATCATGAATTGTCCCAGCTCTGCAGACCCTCCAAATTCCACAACACTGACACCCAGTAGGAGCACAGAAAATTAGATGGGAAAGTAGCACAGAAGCCCACTAAGCTCAATAAGCAAAAGAAATGACACGGAAGGCGCAACTGGAACATTCAGCTCAGTAAATCCTCAGACAATGCCTTCAATCCCCCATTGTGAGATAGAACAATTTTCACAAATTTTCTTTCACTGAATTTTTCATAATTCCACTTACCATTTTGTTATCATAAAACAAAAACAAACACTGTCCTCCCGTTGTTCATTGATTTGCTCGAGCGGGCCCAGTAATGCCTCCATTTTTTGAGACTTGTTACTGTGTTCGGTGTATTGAATACTTGGGAATATTGGGTAGCTTGCCAGGCTTTGCCATGCGGGCGAGATACTCTTGGTAGCTTGCCAGGCTCTCCGAGAGGGGCATTATCATTATCATAAATAATATAAATTATTTTATTTATTTAATAATATCGGCAGAGCCTGGCAAGCTACCCGTGATGTATTCGATATGCCAAACACAGTAACAACAAAGTCTCCAAAGGAGACGTTACTGGGACCGCTCGAGCAAATCGATGAACAACGGGAGGACAGTGACATTTAATAATATAAACATAACAATATAACCATTGTTATCATAAACAATATAAATAAATTATTTTGTGCTTACGAAGGGGGCAGGCTTGGGAGGTGCTTGGGTCACTAAGGACATTGGTGGAGGAAAGGTTACACTGATGGTGGGTGAGATGGGTGCTGGGACATTGAGTTCTCAAGCCAACTGTATTATGAACAACTTTGTAAACCACGAAATAAAGTTAGAAAGGTGTTTAAATAAAGTTAGAAAAAATAAAGGTGTGGGTCTTCAAGTCATCTGGTATTTGGGGGAGCCGGGATTAGGA